GATACTGGTCCTCTCAGTAAAACATGAAAAATGCCTGTATGCCCTCCCTGTGTTTCCGAGGCTTATCTCTATCTTGTGCCTGCCATCCAAGACATGCACAGAGAAGAGAACTGGTGAATCTTGATGTACTACAGTGAATAATTCGGGGCGTGGGAGGGTCTCAGAAGGTTAGTGGTTCAAGACCAGCTTCAATTAGCATATACTTTTGTTGTGTCTTTGAATAAGAAACTTCAAGAAACTCCCTTGCTAAAGTAAAAAAAGTCATGTGTAGTGTGTTGGTGGAGAATGGGAGCCACAGCAGTCAGGGCAGTTTGCGGCTGTATACGACTAACTATAAAATGAATAAATCCAACATAAACATGCATAAGTGTAAATCCAAACTGTTAATTGTTTAGAGGCAGAATTTATGTATAATGAATTATTGATAATATTGTTCTGTCTCAATAATGAGGAAAAGAGCTGATTTAAAAAAAACAAACAAAAAAAGAAAATATGCTGAGCTGAGCCCACACTGTGTCATCAAAAGAAGGCTAATATTAGTAAAATGAGGTTCATTTGGTCTTCCCATAATGTACCTTGATAGATTATTTTTTCAGTCAAGATTTGGTTTGTTTTCTTACCCGACCATTTCAACTGCTCACAAGCGCTCTTCCTCAGAGTGGACACGTGATGTGATTTCATCTGATCTGAGCAGCGTCAACTGCCGTCGGACTTCTTTAGGATAGTATCTCTGGTGTGTGAGAATAAAAAGGCCCCCTTGTCCCAGTTTGAAGTTGTCACAGCAGACACATCACATCAGCATCATGTGTCTACTCCAAGGACTGCTAGTGAGCAGTCAAAATGGTCAGGTATGAAAACAAACAAAAACTTGGCCTGAAAAAATAATCTATTATAATAAAAAGCTAATATTTTCTTTCATTGCACTACATGAGAGAGCACTTACAGTGAGTGGTCTTGCAACTCTACAAACCTGACTCAGACATGGCCTGAAGGAGGACTGTCATCTGCTTGTTGCCATGGAAATGTTATTGATTTGGCCATAATATTCCACTGCATGACATAAAAAGTAAAAGTAGTCATGCAAGTGACATGCTGTCACCAAAATGTTATGTGGTGTTGCTTTAAAGACACATTTAACACATTTCTGTTGGCTTCCAAAAATATCTGTATATTATTTTTATTGGCATACTTCAAAATATATTGAGAAAATATATACAGTTTTTTCATGTTATTTTTTCAGTATTGCATGTAATAAGAAAAGTTGCAGTTTGCTCTCTTCACATTAGAAAGCCTTGATTTGGTGTACATGTTTAGATGCACTTTTTAAGGCTTCTTTTGTGTTTATTTTCATGTCCTGACAGCCATGTTTCATTATTCAGCAAAATTCAGCTGCCCCACTGACTTTCTAACTTTTTTTTCCCTAGTTTATCTGCAACTCTGACATTCCTACAGAGCAGTATCTCCCACACCCTGAGTCAGACGATCATGAACAGAATATATGAAAACTGCAGCGGCTTGTGTACCGCTGGTTTCTGATACTCCCACATCACATTCCACTCTTAATTAGCTACTTCTAGGTCCAACCGCATCTGTTCATGTCTGCATCCTCCTCGCCCAGCTTCTGCCAACGTGACTGGAGCCCTGCCCAAAAACACAGTCCATAGCTACCATATGTCTGTATGGAGCAGAATGTAATGAGTGGGCAAAAGGCATGCAGATGTGGCCAGGCCTGTAATCTAATACAACAAATACCAGAGAGGCAAAAAGTGGACAAGATGAATAGGGGTTGTTTGTAGTACTTTGTATGTTTCACCGGTGGCGTTACATAAAAGTAGTTTGAAAGAGGTTTAAGTCTCAGTGATGAATGAGCGCTCAGTGCAGTTTACCAAAGTGACAGAAAAGTGGATACTGATAGTAAATGTCATTGATTCTTTACAGCTTATAAGGAAAATGCAATATTATAAAACTTACATACACTTCAATATTGAGTTCTGAGAGGTTTTTAATAATAGCATTTTCACAATACTTCAGTGTATGCACCTTGAGTGAACTTCACACTTTCAAGTTTGTGTTTGTAAGAGCTTATCAAATTATTTAAAACTGAGAAAAGGAACCTGAGACAATTTTCCTGATTTGGAACTGTGATTCTATATTTGTTACTATGTATCAGAGGTAGGACCAAGTCATTGTTTTGCGAGTCTCTAGTAAGTCTCAAGTCTTTGAAATCTGAGTGAAGTCCCATGTCAAATACAGGCAAGTTCAACTTGAGTCTCGAGTCACTGGCCCATAAGTCTTAAGTCAAGTCCAAGTCATTTCAAGTCTTTAAACAAAAGTATCAAATATAGCTTAGATTTTTGCAAATTATATTATTTTTAAGATAAATTGTACTTATAAAGTCATAGTATATTTATATATGAGTTTTATAGAGTATATAAGAGTTGTAAAAATGCATATGTTTCCTTTTTAAATGTCTTGACAAGATCTTAGAATGAGTCATTAGTCAGAATACAAAGAATTCATATTGTGAGAAGTGCTTCTCAAGTCTTCTCAAGTCACAGGCCTCAGGTCCAAGTCAAGTCCCAAGTCACTGACCTTCAAGTCCAAGTCGAGTCCCAAGTCTCAGTCCATTTTATCAAGTCAAGTCTCAAGTCCTAAAAATAGTGACTCAAGTCAGATTCAAGTTCAAGTCATGACTTGCATGTTCCCACCTCTGCTATGTATTTAAAAACAATAATAATAATAATGGATCAGATGTATATAGCGCTTTTTGACACTCTAAGATGCTGTGTTATTCATTCACTCTATACTCTAGTCACAGTTGCCCTGGGGCAGACTGAAGGAAGCAAGACTGCCAACCTACACCTCTGGCCTCTCCGACCACCACTAACACTCACACATACCACATTCATACAAGGCACAATGTGGGTGAAGTGTCTTGCCTAAGGACGCAACGGCAATTCTTCCACATAAGAGGAAATTGAACAAGACCTTCTAGCTGTGACTGTGCCGGCGTCTTTGCCGCTACTCCATAATCTTCATTTCCTCAAGAGACTATTTGAAAACCAATAGGAAACACACAGTTTTTTTCTCAATAAACATAAATTTGCGAAGGGACACATTGCATAATATTGCCCCAGAGAGAGTATTTTGTGAAATAAAGAAATAAACTACCACAACAAATCCAGTCGCTGCTTATTTTAATGACTAAATAAAGAGACTACTACGTGACTGACAGATTCAACAAGCATGCCCATTTGTAAGGTGAAGTTTATGCCCTATTCTAAATATAAAGTCATTTTCTCAATCCAAATCAGCTTCCACATCAGGTACAAACAACAGTAGGCCTCCTTAATACCGGTGTGGGCTAAAGTTTGAATGACAAACACTTTTCCAATAATACCTCATTATGTATGCATTAAGATTGTCTGGCAGGGACGCGCTGTTGTGTTATTGGAAAGATGGGTCGGAATAGCATCTGTCGCGTAAATAAATAAAGATGAAAAGCTATGGAGCAGGAGGTGCGGTGCTCGTCATTGTCTGGAGCTGAATAACCCTCTGACAGGAAGCAAAGGCAAGACGCACAATGATGCAGAGGAGAATCATCTTTCACTGTGTCTGAGGGAGGAAGGATCAACACTACAAGTATATTTTCACCGCGATCTTATTCCGTCTCACCTTCAAGTGTCGCCCTATAAGACCCCCTTGTTCTTGGTTCATTTGTTCTTTGTTATTTGGTAGTCTGAGTTCACAGTGGGTTTTTTTCCTACTGACTGAAAGGTGGTTTCTTTAAATGTCAATCCTATCCCACGATGAGTACAAAAGAGAAATGTATTTTTGTACTTCCTGGGGGGTATATGTGTAGTGCAACAAGACTGTTAATAAGAAGTATATTTAGTGACAAGTCAGCCATCCAACATCTACAAATGGCACCAGCAAATGCAAATACTTTTTTTTCCTGATTTTTTTCGGTATTTATTTATTTATTCCAGAGAGGTGAGCATGTAGAATAGTAGGAGAGGCAATTCAGTAGTGTCTTCATTAACTGTTAAACAAAACCAAACTGTGGATACTGCTGTTGGCACAGGTTGTCAGCCTCTCCTCTGTCAGATTACCCTAGGGCAGTTATGGTTTCGGTAGCTTACCAATATACAATGAACAATGCGTGAAATTGTATTTATTTATTTATTTCAGTCACAGGTATATTTTGACATTAATTCACAGACAGTCATATTTAACATACACAGACCGAAAAGGTGTGGGCTGAAGCTTAAGCTTATTATGCCTACCCTTTATTCATGACTTTAAAGCATTGTTTTCCCAAAGACCCCCAGTTGGGTTGCAAGAGATTTCTTTTTTTTTTGGGTCGCCTTGTCATGATCTGCATGTAGGTCTGCAATATACAGTTCTGATACTGATATGCGTGTTGCGCTCTCCTCCTGCACCCCAGATGAGAATACGCTACAAAAACACAGACAGGTCCACCTATCTCATTAGAAATACTGAAATGTTAAGACATGTTTTGAATAATTTTTTATCTTTTTGCAATTATTTTATTGACTGTTTTGTTCTAATATTGCTGGTTCAATTAAATGTTGAAAAGAAAAAGAAATGGGCTACAGTTAGTTATGGATAATTGTACTAATTGTTCAGAGAGACACAATCACTCAGTTAACAATAAAGTATCCTCATTAATGTTCAGTAATAATCTACCTTTATTTTCTGATTTACAAATAATGTCTATTGATTTGGGTTGCAAAGGTTTGTGACTTAAAATATAGGGCCACAGAAAAAAAGTTTGGAAAACACTGCTTTAAAGAGTCCATATTACACTATCTTCTGATCTATAATGTAGTTTCCTCATCAAAAATATAAGTGTAGTTGTGTTTTGTCTCATTTACACATGTTTAACTTACAAACCCTGCAAATTTAGGCTGAAAACACTCCAACTTGTCATGTGGTGATAAAGGAATTGCTCCACTGTAATTTTAAACTCCATACACCTTCACCAGAATCATTTGTGTAATTCCATTCTCGGAATTAGCAGTCTCTACTAAACAAAAGGTAAAGGTAGTTGTTCACATGAAAACTACCACTACATGACATCACAAGGTGGAACAGAGCATTTTGAGCTTTGGAGATGTAGACAGACTAATAATAAAGGGTTACTCAAACATGTGTGAATGAAACAAAAGACAACTCCAGGTATGTTTTAGAGAAGTCAACATCTTATCATTCACACAAAACACTGTAGATGACTTTTCCTGGATAAGTCTCCTGGATAGCAGATTCAGAAAGGCCAAATATGTGCATTACTAATAATTGTAATTAAAATGTAAAACCAAAATGTCACGTCTCAGAATAAGACATTGAGGATCGTAGCTGTCCAAACTTGTGAACAAAGTCTGACTGAGCTTGTACCAGAGCTTCTTCATCGATGTAGACCGCCGCCCTTTTGGCTGTCACATAGTACTGCACTTTGCGTAGGCTCCAGCCCAGCATGTACATGAGGAATCCACATACCGCTGCAGTGGAGCGGCCCACCCCGGCGTTACAGTGAACGTACACTGTGTGCCCGTTCTCAAGAAGGCCGTGGAGCAAGAACACCGCCTGGGGAAGCATCCGCACTCGACCTGCACAGACAAACCATGGTATATCAAAAGTATGCATCTCACTGTGGTTCAAGATCACTATTTAGTGCCATACTTTCTTCATCTAAACATAATTTGTTTAGTTACAGTTCAGTCAGTGTCAGGTCTAATTATCTCTCTTACGACTGATATTTCAGAACAAGCACCGTTTGGATGAAAAAGTCTTCTATCTCCAAACCTTGTTCATTTGACACCTCTTTGAAAGTAAAGTAAAACAGTTTAAAAACATTTTTGAGTGGATTATTACATTCCATAACGATTTTATTTATTTATAAGACCTTTAACCCATAACAACAATGCTTTAGAAAATGTTTTTAAAATACCAAATAATGTAAGATATTTTGTAAGTCAAACAGAGAAAATAAGATTAAATGTGCACTATGACTGTTCAACAATTCCACGAGGGTCAAAATATATTCTAATGTGAGCAGGGTTGCATCTCCACAGATTGTACCTGAAACTTGGTCTTGTGCCATTACCTGCTTGTCATGTGAAGTTTAATGCCATACTGTAGAGAATTTCTGGCAAAGCAATAACACAAGCAGGTGGTGGAACTAGTGATATTCAGAGTATGTAGCTTTCCGAAGTCAGCTGCATAATTCCATGGAAATAAAAAGTTAAAATCATACTTTGGAACATTCTTCATGGAGATAGATGGCATACTGTGGGATATCATAGCCAAAGGAACAAAGTTTTCAATGAAAACATGCAGAAGGAGGCCCCCCTACAGCCCAAAAGACAGTCTTTTTGTGGAGATGATGGAGTAGTGTGTACCCTCAGTGCTCATGTCAGGCGTGGGGATCCACACATAGGCCAGCCCAGTGTCTCTGTACAGCTGCATCATGGTCTCTGGTGTCATGGGCACCTCAGGGTGACGCCTGCACCCGTATGAGTTGTTCAGCACATCACTCTCTGTCTGGAAGTTCATCACTGCCGTGATGCCGAGCTCATGCTTCATCTTGATGGTCACATGCTCCACTTGTCGAGGGCAGCTTCCTAACCAGACCCGAGGCAGTATTCTGTGGTTCCCAATACACAGAAGTAACAGTTAATGTGAGAATTCATTTACCACTGGGGCAAAATGCTCCACTGTTTAAAAAAGATAATCCTAAATGTAAAATAATGTAATGTAGACATAATGGCACAAAGGGTATTTCACCATAAAATATTCATCATTGAATTATTTTATGTTAAATCTAAGCGGATCATCTTTAATGATTTGCTTTGGATCTACATAAAACAATTCAATGTAAAAAAAAGTGACACACTATATTTAAATGGGGTCAACCTTTTTTCAGTGTAGCAATTAGGAAATATATTATGTAGTGCAGCAAAGAACAAGTCTTTTATCAATGGGGATCAGTAAAGATATAAGATGAAACCTTCAAAGATACAATATTGTAGTAAATCTTTTAAAGTAAAATAAACCTATTCAAGAGAAGACGTAGAGTTTTCTTCTGAGTTAGTTCAGACTTAGACCTAAAGTGCCGGAGGTCCCTTGACCCTCACTGTCTCTAATAAGAAAAATGTTGAGCTACATCAGTCTGTCTCATTCTGCTTCCTCTGTGCATTGATGTTTCATTGACCTCTTGTCCTCTCATTTTCTACCTGACCACAGCACTGGCTCTCTGCAAACTCCATTCAGCTCACATTAGTATGCACCAAGCCTACAGCCACAAAGGTGATACATTAAAGAAAGACTATGTTAAATGTCATGTACTATTAATATACAATCTATATTGGTAGTAGTTAAACTATCATTATATTGTTGGAATTACACACTGTGTTCAGACACATCCTGGTTTGATGAAGTTTAGTTCTGCTGTAGACTTGGCTTGATACTTTTATAGTCCTGGTTTAGTCCAGGTTTGATTTTGGGATTTGTCTCAGTTTTGATGTGGTGTGAGTACAAGTAAGAACACAACCAAAGCAGGGGACTAAGGATGGAAATTATCTTTGGTTACAAACCAAAATCAGCACTATACATGAAACCAAATGATCAAACAAAATCAGGTATTGACCAACATTAAACCCCAAAATAAGACTGGAACAAGGACTACACTTGTCTAAACCTTGAAATTTGAATCTAAGAGACAAAAAAAAACAAACAAGACTGAACTAATGATATAAGAGCAAAGTCAAAAACCAAACTTAGCCTTCTGTAACCCAGTACTAGACCAGGACTAGACCAGGATTAGACTAGAACCAAGTCAACACCATGTCTAAACTGGAAACAAACCTGAATGCATTCTTAATTCAGGACCTAAAATCCAACTACAGAATATGCTCAAATTTGCCATAACCATCCCACGGAAACACTTGGCCCTGACCAGAAGTTTTTTTGTAAAGAAAAGGATTAGACATTAAAAGGTGAGTCAGCTACATTCTGGTAAGCTGTAAAAACGACTTTGGATTGAATAGCGAGTTTTAGTATTAAATAAAGACACTTGTTGATACAGTGATGCCCGTCTACTACAGAAGACGTGTATTTGAAAATAATTACTGCTAAGGTTACTGTGCAATACTTTTGAAGCAAGGTCTTGGCAATTAATTGAACTCCTGAGTGATTAATCAAAGTTAGACATTGTGCACAATAGACAAGGACTCACTTTGAATAGAGGTCCCTGGTGCAAAGTTCGCAAGATCCTCAAAGACAAATTTAAATATGTCGGCATTGAGACTTTTTGTAATTGTTATTTATTTATTAAAGTAAAAAATTAACCACTTATGAAGAGATAAAAGAGTTTGATGCTAAGTGGTGTTAGTAACAAAAGTTTATGTTTATGTACTGTTCAATATAGTATCAGTCAGAAATGATAAAAAATAACCTTGTGTATAATACTTGCAGGCCTTTATACGGTAAGCACAATGCCACAAAAATACTACAACTAATTGGTCTACTACAAGCTTTCACTTTTTTGTAAGGAGAATCTTGATTGTCCTATCATTGTCCTATCATTCCATGCAGTAAATATGGATTATCCAGTTATTTGAAAGTTTTTGAATTTAATATTTAGATCACAATATAATGGTGAGATGGACAAAAAAAATAAAATACTCGTGCAAAATCAAGTCTGGTTGTTTATATGACACATTAATTTCATATTATATATATATATATATATATATATATATATATATATATATATATATATATATATATATATATATATAATGTGTGTGTGTGTGTATATATATATATATATATATATATATATTTTTTTTTTGTATAAAGCTCTGGAAATGTATTTGACAATGGGAATGAAAGAAAACTATGGAGTCTTATACCAATGTGAACCTTAGGTTGTCCATGTATGTTCTATAGTGGTCCATGTGCTCTTATACTTGTTCTGATATTCAGGAAAGGTTCATTTCTGTCCTATGAATGTGACTTTTTAGCATCGATACTTACTCAAATGATTATCTAGTTTTGATACTAGTTTTAATATCAATTAGTATCTACTTTTTGATGCTTTTGACAATCCTAATATCAATAATTGTTTACATATTGTCGATCTTTCTTCTCACAAAAATCATAACATAATATTTTTTAGCATGAGAACAAAATGTATTTATGTACCTGGAGAAATGCATGGCTTTTTGCCCTGCCACGCTAAAGTAAAAGTTAGTGGTGTGCTTCATCTCATCTGTGTGTCCAGTCGCCTCTATCCAGTGACCAATGGGGTGGCAGTACACTCCATCCACCACATTCCTCTCATCATAAGCACAGCATCTGTCGTGACTCGGACCATTGCCTGGGAAAAGAAAAAAGGTAGTGAAGTCAGTACTGTCCATAGATCAACCTTTACTCCTATATTATTCTTAAAGTATGTCATGTTCGATGATATACTTTGTTTATTAAATAGACATCGATATGTTTAAAGTAGTTTTTAGGGGCCTTGGCGTATCTCCACTCAGTAAAGGTATGACAATATGTTATTGATCATTCATCTTGATTGCATTTTATTCTAGCACAATTGACTGACTTTTTTGTAATTGATTATGTTCTAGCAAAATGACAGAATACAATATTATATGGATTTAAATAAAAAGTAAAAGTGTACTACGTACAAGCCTACTACATATGTGTCTTGTCTTATCTATGACTTGTGTCCAGTCAACCTCCTATAATTGAATGGAGTAATCAAATATGAGGATTTACTGCCCTCGTGTGGCAAACACCAGTCATCACTCAATATGTCGCAGATTTTTAAATTTAATTCTATGAACAGGGACTGTATTCCATTTCAACCGAATGAGAAATAAATAGAATTAGGACTGTATTTTACCTTCAAATATGTAAGAGCCATTGACTCGTTTGACAAATTTGAACCAGAGCGGGTCTGTCCAGGGCTCGGACAGGCGCACGTCTGCGGTCCACAGGCACGGCTCGTGCAGAGACACCACCTTCCGGGACGCTTTCATGTGCACCGCTCTGCTCGTGTCCCATTGGCCCATTTCTGCGCGCGAGCCCACCGCTAACACCTCCACGTCCAGAGCCTCTGGAGTCAGAATGACCCCGAACCTGAAGAACATCTTCTGACTGTGAGATCCGGCTCTTCCGCTCTGCTCCACTTCGCTGTTGTGCTGTTGTAGTTTGTCCGACCCCAGACTGTGCCGCTCTCCTCTATAAATAGTCTGGACGCCTCTTTTCAAAGGGCATATTGTTTCAAAGATAGGATGAGCAGTTTGACCTCCCACTCTGCTCAAAAGGGTAATAGCTGTTCACTATTTAAATTAACAAGTCATACTATGGCCTGATATCACTACAAGGCTTGCTCAGCATAGCAGTTAAAAAAAAAAAAAAAAAAAAAAAATATATATATATATATATATATATATTTTACAACTTAATTAAATCAAATGTTTAGTATGCAAATACAAAGATCCACTTACAAATTGCCTTTCTTTTACAATAAAATGACCTACAGCCAAAGCTGCACTGCAACACATATGTAAATATGCACGAACAAACGTACAAATATTATCTTACAGGGCAGGTCCCCTTAATCCCTCTGCTCTGAAACAGACACGTAGTCATAGACCAAACTGGTGTAGCCTCTTTATGCATACCCTGTAAGGGTCTTTCAGAAAGAAAAGAAACAATAAATAATTAAAATGATTGGCTATTAAAAATTAGACATAAGGTTGATCATCTTAAAATGCAGAATGTTTATACTATATTTAAGAAAGAACACGTCAGTTACAAAATATACATGACAACTGTATTAAATGGTGATACTGTTCTCTACATAAGTCGGGTTCAGATAGTTGTAGGGCACTTGAAGCTTTGAGTTTCTTTCATTGATAGCCTCACTGAGGAAAAGCAGGTCATTCTGCAGATCTTTCAGCATCTGCCTTGGCGCTGCCTCATCAAAATATTCGTCAGGATTCGAACCCAAGGGGACCTGTAGTGACACAATGGTTAAACAATCTGTATAATATAAATAAAACTAGAACGATGGCAATACACCATCAATATTAAGCATTTTTGTATTGATCTAATCTGGATTTGTACGTTTACTGTGGAATTCACTTTTAAAAGAGCACATTGGATTAGTTGTTGAATACACTTGTATACTGACCATATTGTTGCTTTTGAATGACATCCAAGCAGCATGTGTAAAAAGCGCTGTATTGCCAACAGCTGGAAGTGTCTCTATTACACTCTCCATGCTCGATGTGTCTTTTATTATTGGAGGGGGCTGAATGAGGAGCGGTGAACCATTGAGAATCCAGGGGTAATAGTCAAACTGAAAAGGAAAGCAGTGGTTTATTGACGGAAACACTAGTACATATACTAGTATTCATTACACCATTTGACTGACCTGGCCGTTATTGACAGCAGCATGTTGGGCAGACACAGTGAAGATGATCATAGTAACAAACTTGATAAGTTCATCAGTGGTTTCCAAAGTTTCTGGGAACCCTGATGAACACATGACACAAACACAGCAAGAAAAATATTTTTGCTGTTTAAATGAGTAACAAGTTTTATAAATTTTAAAATAATGTGGTGGTTTGTGAAAAAAGTAGAAAACGAAAAAAAGAAAAGGTCCTGTATTATACAAAATGGATTCTTGTGAGCTTTAAGCCATGTAAGAATGCTATTATCTCCTCAAAAACATACCTAGAGTTGTGTTTTGTTTCATTCACACGTTTGAGTAATCGTTTACAATTAGTCTGTCTACATCTCAAAATATCAAAGTGCTCTATTTCACCTTGTGATGTCATGTAGTGATAGTTAACAGCTATCTTTTACCTTCTGTTTAGTAGAGATAGTCAGTTCTAGAGCTGAAATCTTCCAAATGATTCTAGTTAAGGTGTATGGAGTTTAAAAACACAGTGGAGCACTTCCTGTATTACCACATGGCAGCACAAGGTGGAACAAAGTGTTTTCAGTTTGAGAGAAGAACACAGCCTAAATATACAGGATTTGTGAGTGAAATATGTGTGAATTAAACAAAACATAGATTAGTGATGAGGAAACAACATTATAACATAGATCAGAAAATAGCTTAAAATGGGCCCTTTAAATTTCATGAAGTAATTGACTGCTAAAAAAGAACCCTTCTACCAACTTCATAATACACAAAGATCCATCCAAAATGCAAGAACAATTTACATGAAGAGTGGGAAGAGACATTATGGTTTTGGACTCAAACCTGAGAATGAGTTTCCAATGACTCCGTGCATGAAGATGTCTTTGATCCATTCCTGTAGCTCAGGGTCTTTGGCCACATCCCCGTCAGACAGGTAGTGGTGCCTTACCATTCCTTTCACAAAACTGCAAACAGCATATTCAGATTAATGTTCTGGGCGAAAAGTCTGGTATGGTATGTTTTATTTGTGCACAATACATTAACCAAGAGAAAAGTTTACACCTGTAGTCTCCGAGCAGGTTGGTGGAAATACTGAAAATATGGATTCATTGTACACTACACACTTTTTGTTTTATGTTTACTGCTTTCTACATTTGATCCACATACAGAAGACATCAAATATATAAAGTAAGATGTATGGAATCATGTAGAAAAGAAATGGAAAGAAATGGACTAGACATGGACTCAATAACAATTTCATATTATAATTTTCCCAAGCTATGCCTGCTACATTGATAATGATTGTCCTTACTTGTTTAAAACCGCCCACAACTTCAGGCCGTCGTCTCTGTAGTAGAAGTTGGGGATAGTGTCCAGTCCTCGTGCGGTGATGTTCTCTGGCAGACAGAGGGCACTGTATTTCAACTCGGAGAAACCCCTCTTCATCAGCTCCTTCGCGCCCTCTGCCCCAAGTGAGCTCTGAGAGTAGGACAATGAAGTAAGTGTTTAAAGCTGAAAGTGGATTAATATACTGCAGAAAAACTAAGGTGGTCATACCATGGTTAAAGGCCCTGCAGGTCCAAAAAGATAATCTTGGACAATATTGTTGATGTGGATGGTGCTTTGAAAGTGAGTAATCAGCATCTGTAAAAAGGCATGAAAGAAAATTGAGAAAGAGAACTGAAAATGTCAGCAGAATGTATATTTTTATACCTTGTAAACTGGATGTGCTGAGGGGAGGTTCCTGTATGTTGCCATAGCGAAGACTTCTCCTAACATGTGTGTTTTCAGAATGTGTTCGACTCCCTGATGCAGCAGGTAGTCTGTGTTTTTGATGAACATTTTCGCCAGTAGCCAGTCACTATCTGAGTCAGTGGGCAGGAAGATGGGGTTGTCCTTTGAGGGCGTTTGTGCAAGCTGTGACACAGTGAGATTTGTTATGTTGTCTTTATCTTGCTTGGAGTTATCTAGGGCTTACCTGTATTGCAATTGGCACTAGTTCTTTGTCAGAGTTTAGATAGAATAAGCAGAAGCCTGATGCTACATACACAGCTTGTCCATTGACGTCACGAGTGGCTATTCCCTCCATTATCTTATAATCAGAGATGAACATGTTCCCCATCTGCAGGTAATAATAAATAATCATTATTTGGCTCTATTTTGAACTACTTTCATGGAAATTAAACATAAAACCTACTGAAGTACATACCTCTATTTCTCTTTGCAGAAAGGAACCTCTCGCCAAGAATGATTTTACCATCCAGTTTGTGACAGGAAAGTTTGAAGGAAGTTTTGAGCAGCGCTTGATCACATTTGGGTTTACCCCATTTAAAAACTGGTACCCAAAAAATGTGTCTTCTGTCCAGTTCTCCAACACATAATCTAGTATAGAGGCAACGGCAAAGTTACACCCATAAAGCAGCAAGTCCCATTTTATATTTCATGTAAATTCAATAGTAACATTCTTGATCTTAATACATGTTTTTGTATTCTATGAATTGTGTTAGTAACTGACCTAACATAGCTGACTTCTTGACACCAAACATGCGTTTCATTGAGTCAACTGACTTCCATTTTTCTTTAGACTTGAACATTCCTTTGAGTGTTTGTTCAAAGGAGCTGTAGATGGAGGGGACATATATAGAAGAACACTGAAAGTTTATAAAGGTAAATGTGCGTTGGAACTTACGTTGCAGATCTGGGCTCTGTTGAGTTGACTTCTGCACGGGGTTTTGACTCATTATCATAGCCGTGAGGCAGTCCATCAAGATAAAACTTCCACCTTAACCAAAAAATCCATTTGTAAGTTTCTACCTCATCAAGTGCATATAAGCTTCACACAACTTACTGGTACACAGTTTTCCTATGTTGTAATTCATTTTTCCGCTGGTGAATCAGAAGTTGGTGGTCATCTTCAAAAACCATTGTTGCTATCAATAACAGAGAGATGTCAATACACTATACTATGTGTGGTTGTGGTTTTACTTCTAGATACATACCTTTGCCTCCTCGGAGCTCCACAGGCTCTCCTCTGAATATCCACCGGTAACAGGGAAACAAGATGGTGCTGTTGTCAGGCGTAGTCACCACTATTTTGGAGCAGTACCACTGGTCTTCTGGGAAAATAAAGCAGGGGTGTTTTTCCACTCTGAGCAGAAGAAGGGTCCCGAGAGAGCAAATGTTTTTTATGGTATATGTTTTTGTCTAGAAGAGAAAAATGCATTTGAAAGTAGGTTACATTACTATTCTGCTATTTCCCAAATTTACACTAACACTATGTGACTTTCCAAGTGGAGGGTCTGCTACATTTTGGTCTCTATGGAGATGTTAGTGCTTGTGTTGGAATAATTCACAGACTTACCCATTTAACATTTATTTAATTACAAGAGTTTTTCTCCACAGAACTGATTTGCCACATGGAGTCTCAGTGGAGAAAGGTAAGTTTAATGCTATACTGTGAAACATTCCAAGTAAAGTAATAATATCTCCATGGAGACAAGCAGGTGGCATATCCTCCACTTGAAAATGTACATAGTGCTACTTAGTTCAATAGTTTAACTGCAACTTATTTCCACCCCTTATACCATAATTCTGAACTAAGACTACTACAGTCATTGTTTTTGGTCATATCACTGCATGTTTATTGGTGTAAACATGTATTATTGCTTCATCTGTGTGGTTGCATTCTAGAGTTCATATTCTAACATCTTTTTAGTCTTCAAGTAACCAAACACCTAAGGAACTAATTGCAAGTCCCTGTACTCACCTCACAAATATACGAATAATTTAAAAAATCACTTACTTTTCCTCGAGAAAACTCAAATCCCAAGGCAGAGAGGGCCGTTTTCGCACTTTGTCCTTCAGACCCGAGCAGTGTTACACTGACCAGGTCCCAGGTTCCTGCAAACGGCAAGTCTCCAGTTGTCACAGCCACCTTGTACGTTGCCATCCTCACTCAGAAGAGGCAGAAATGTCAAATGAAACAAAAATAGTTCACAAAAAAACTCTGACCTGACTACTTCAATATACCACAGTTTGGAGACTTTTGAGTAACCCATCCTGGGCGGTCTAACCCAATATTTGTTCTGACTCTGAGCATCCTGTTTGTAAACGGTGATGACAGGACTACACCCAACTAAATATCTACAAAGAATGCTGGTTACAAGACCATTTCAAGAATTTTATCACTATTTTAACAATAAACAGTGCTAACATTTCTAGTAATGAACTGAATTATCACCGTAACATTCCTGCACAGGGTGCAAAAGGCCAGTTTTTTAGGTTTTATGGTGCACTATGCAACTTTCTGGTGGATGGTCTGCCACTGTGGAACATTCCAGGAAAAGCAGTAGACTGCTTCTCCATGGAACCAAGCAGATGTCAGATCCCCACCATAAAAGTTACACAGTGCACCTCTAATAAGTTAAAGGTGTTAAAAACAGTGAAATAATGATTGTGATTATTATTAAAAAACAATTCTATTAGCGCTGTGTTTTCCCAATTTACTGCGTTTTATTTTTAAATGAACTCAAACTAACTAATGCTGTTAATAAAGGATGACATACAAACTCTTTGGCTATGCATGTCCTTTGTTCCACTGTTTTGTGAAACACAGTTCATTAAAATACACATTTTACCTTTCATGTTTTAGCTTGTGAATGCTTATAGTTCATTGATATTTAATACATGGGAGCTCCTTACAATCTGTGCCAAGTCATGTAACTCAAGATGTATAATAAGTGCAGGCTAACTTACAATACAGCTGTAAATACTTTATTAAATGGTAGCAAATCACATGCATTATTGATCCATCATTAATATTGATCTGTTTTGACATCAGAGAGCTTGGTACGCATTAGGCTGACACCTCCTAGGCATCTGAAGGACACAGTAAGACAATCAGGAGTGTTTAAAGTGGATAAAGTGCTAGCATTACTCATGTTGCACAAAATATTGACATGTGCTTTTCCATTATGGCTATAGCAGAAAGGCAAGACGGTGAAATCGCAATACAGGATAATAGAAATCTACAGTGCATAATTCTCCATCAAAATATACTATCTTGACAATGTAAATGTATTTTTGTTTGTTTTAGCACAAATCTATGCAAAAGTGATTAGATGCTGGTCGTCAACAGCAACAAAGTGGTACATTTTAAGGCAACTTCATATTGTACAGTGGAAGTAATGGTAGTGTAGTAATAGGAAAAATCCATTTGCACAACAGGGCTGTTTTTGAAGTTTTGGTTTCAGATGTTGATGTGTCGTAGCGTGCGTCGCAGAGACTGGCCATCTCGTTCAGTGCACATGGCGGTGAGGGGGATGGGGTCAGTCTTGTGCTCCACTGTGTTGAAAGTGCACTTCTTCAGGTGGTCAGACATGCTGGGGACATTGGTGAAACCCCAGGACGATACTGGGCTGAAGGCAGTGCTGAATCTCCAAACCTATGGGTGACAAAGAAGGACAGACAGGTACAAGACAGAATTAAAAAACTGTATGGAACTGCATTATATGTTATTTTACAACTGATCCCACTGCAAAAATGTAAATGAAAATCTGGGTAGACAGGATGTTACAAAGTAGGAAGAAGGAAGAGAGATCATTGAATTACTTGGCCAATGATTGCATTTGTATTACATTATTATGTATTGCAGCATTTTTAAGACAATAGGTTAAAAAACAGAGTGTAACTTTCTGGAGGTGGTATGTCACCTGCATGATTCCATGGAAATAGAAAGTTAAAACCACACTTCGGAACATATTATAGCCAAAAAAACCAAAGCCAAAGACCAGCAGGTTGAGGCCCGTATTCAAACATCCAAAACAATAACATGCTTTTAGTCTATTTTTTGTCTAACAAGCCAGCTATTTTGGATGAACCACTGTTGAATAAAAGGTTATTTGTACAACTAGAGAAATGAAACCATATACAAGACTATATAAAAAACTATAATAACAATATAATATTATTTTTTCTGCAGTTTTAAGTGTTTCATCATACTCACTTTGTTTTTGACCTGCCAGGACACACTGACAGAGCCAGGGTGGTGTCTGCGCTGCCACCGCAGCTCCACAATCCCTCTGCTCTGAAGGAGGCTGGCACACACGTCTCTCATCGTCCGGGACACCAATGACAACTGGCACAGACTAAAACTATCCAGGAATCCGGCAATGAGCCACAGTATCTCTATGGGCAGCTCGCTAAACTGCACCACCTGCGAGGCACTTGGAGGTGTTACCCGTGGGCAAGGCTGGACCCCAAAGGACTTGAGATATCTGTCATGGACCACTTTAGCCTCCACGTTAGAAGGGTAAAACCTGCGCTGTGAAAACGAACAGCCATAATAAGCTAGAGGACAGCGGTGCTCCATCCAACCATTGAGCCCTGCGTGAATGTCCCCATGGACGTTTGTGAAATGAGAACTGAACTGGTCCCTACGGAAAGACTGGCCACACACAAAGGGAAAAGTGTGCTGGTGCCGAGGGTTTGAAGGGAGGTATCGGTTAAATGCGGCGACATCACCTTCTAGTGCCTCTAAAACCAGGCCGAGGCGCAGGGTGTGGTAGGGGTTGGGGTAGGAGAGCTGTGAGGCTGCATGGTCACAGGCAGATGCAGAGGCCATGTCCCCCACTCTTGTGTTGGTGACCAGGATGGCAGCAGGGAAAGTGAAGGTCTGAGTACCAAAGTCCACACGAAAACCATCTACATACACGGTGTCTGAGATCCTCCTGCACTCTCTGGACTCCTCTAAACAGAAGAACAAAGCTGCTGTGATCAGATCAATGTCCCCGAGTCCCATAGGGTCCTCCTGCTGCTCCAGGTCGGAAGTATCCACTGATTTGTCCTCCATTTCAGGCCTTTGATCAGAGGGCCGTAAACTTATCTGACTGAAAGGCATTGAACACTGCCCCTGCGTCAGCAATAAGTGTTTTCTATAGAAATTCACTCCATGAGTCTCCAGTGGACCAATCACATGATTTGCATTGGAGGTGGTATCCTGATTCTGACCTGTAGCTAATGAGTCTTGTAAAACACTAGCATTTTTTTGTAATTCAGAAGTGCATGATGTGTCTGAGTGTTTTCCTAAACCTCCAAATGTCTGTCCATTTGCTGTGTTCAAAATTAGATCTGTATCATTTTGAGGTTCATTCAGATCAGACAGGTTAGAACAAATGTCTGGCTCTGCTGATTTAGTGCACAGCACATTTGAAACTACAGGGGTTTTGCTTTTTATTCCATTGCTGTTCATTATAATCGCTTGTTCAACAGCCCCATTGTTCACAATCTCTGCACTGCTAGAATTACTCACAAACTCTAAAGCAGCAGCTAAGCTTCTTGCAGTCTCTACAGTGGCTTGATAGAGTTTGCTGAAGTGCTCCTCATTCATACCATTAATTCCTCTGGCGATTTTCTCTGATGTGCTTGGTGGTCGTGACTCAGCATCAGTGGATATATTTTCCTTGACTATTGGAGGTGGAGTGTCTTTCTCAACTGTAGGTGCCACTGAAATCACTTTTAAAGATTCAAGTAAAGTCCGTTGGTCCTGGAGGGCCAGTGCCATGTCTAGCTGCTCCACCTCCTCTGTGGCATTACTAAGGGACTCATAGGAAGTGTAGTTAAGACAGCTAACAGGCCACCTGTTCCACTCCATAGTGCAGCACACGACCCCAGCTGGACACACCTCTAGATGTGCAGACATCTGGTCTCTTATCAGGCTAACAGGACAACCATAGGTACTGTTGATACAGGGCACTTTGAGCAGAGGACACAGGATCTGATGCTCTTGAGATTTGCATGAATGAAACACTGCTCCACACAGCAGGGCACAGGGCACAGCAGGGCACAGGGCACGAGCTCACAGGACAGGCCTGGCTCTGGACGGACACTACATCTCAGGTTAAAGCAGGACACACAGTGAGCGTGCTCCTCCATCTGCGACACTGAAGAGTCAAGGATCATCATCAGACTGTGGCTGATTTTTACCACAGTCTTAACAGATTCACTGAAATGAAAATACACAAGACCTGTTATTAAAACTGTCTGTAACTACTATCTAATGCATCTCTACTGGAAAACATTTGACCCGAGGCAAAGCACATTACGTTTAACTCTCGACTTTGCCTCTCATGTAACATGTTTACATTTTTATAGCATGAGCTTAAGTTTCGTTGGACTTACTTTTATCACAGTAGTGAAAACAATAAGAAATACTGATAAAACTACACGAAAAACGGAACAGTAGAGAAAAATCACAAAACTGGAATGATGAATGTTTTGGTTTTGCAACAACAATGCAGATTTAATAACACGGCCATAATAGGTGATAAATTAAATAGACGTACTGACAGCAGTAAAGTATGTGCGCACAAGAAATCTGACATTTTGCGTACAAACTACTTACTACAGCTACACCTTCTATAGCAAAAAAAAAAAAGAAAAAGCGATGACTCTACGTTTGCCCATGAGAAATCATGTGTATTTCCCTTTTCTGGTGTTTTCCTTCCAACTTACCGAAGCTAATGCTAGCTGTCAGCATTTAGCTGCCTGTAAGTTCAAAGCGCAAACAGCACGAAGAATTTACACACTAGAGCTAAAATGTTTCTTACCTTCTGCTAAAACATATGAAATCCCTGAGAGAAAAAGCACTTTGATGAGGAGATGTCGCTGCTTATTCCTCCAAAACAAACTGCCCTGATCTACATCCTCATTATGAGCGTCCACCTTTTTTTTTTTCTTTTTGAAAACTTTATTGACAAAGGCGGCGTTCATTCTTCTCAGATTTCAAAACATGATTTACATCATAGATCCATGATTTACAAACACATTTACGGCAAACATCAATAGCCAACCTCAATTAGCAACGCGTGTCCCCGCATATCTAAACAAATACAGTAATAATTTAATACATTATAAATACATTTTCTACACCTAACTACATGTAAAGTTTTAATACACACATAAAAAATAATATTGCTAACCAGACTTATTATTTCCGCTTTGTTATTTGATTAAATGGTATGAATATTTTTTTTTTTATAATTTAAACGACAATAAAATTAACTTTAAATTGACTACTTGTAATATCTTATTATGGCCAGCAGAGGACAGTATTGCATTATTTAGGATACGCCCAAATGACAGTTCACTGCAGGGTTACATCCGCAGGGTTACAACAGGCGCAATTTTCATCTAAACAGAGGTCAGATTAGCACGCAACAAGAAAAAATTCTGTCTGTGTGTGGTTTTAATCTGAGAATGAAAATGTTGTAGCCTAGTTGTAGGTCTACATCGTTTACTCGTAATGATTTCTGTCCTTTTCTGTGGTGAGTTGTTGAAGTTGAATGATTTGATAGTACCAGAGTCGCTTATGATGATTGTACATTGATAAAAGGTCACATATTGACCTATACATCCTCTGCCCTCGGGTCTCGGCCCTCAATATGGCCCTGCATTATACCACCGTTTCTCCATCTCCACATGTCACTTTCACTAATGTTCAGGACCAGACGCTCGCTCCTCAGACCCCGGGCACCATCAGTGTCACAGGCTTTATGAATTTGTTATTTATACTTCCTAAATGACTCAACAGGGTCTGTTGTGTAAATGTGGTCCCTGCAAAGCAAATCCTAAAGTGTAATATTATGTTCAATCCATATAGGTCTCATAATCTTCTTATTAATTAGTGATTATACGTCAGTAATTTTCCATTTGAACATAACAGGATTCTTTTACAAAATTTTCCTTGTAAAAATAAATAAATAAATAAATACAATCCAGCAATTGTCAAGAAGTTGTGTAACCATTTCATTCATAATCTTCAAAAACACTAGAGGGCGCAATGCGGTTGGGTGCTGTCCACGGTCCTGAAATCAACCACAGGGTTCTCAGAATGTTTTATATAGACTAAGATGAATGTAATTTCTTTAACCTTACATAATATAGTAAAAGCTTAGATCAGTTTTATGTTACAATGCCACTCAAGCCTGCATGCAGACTCCCAACAATTAATACTAGGCTACTACTATTTTAGAAGGCTGTTGTCAAAACTAAAGAAAAAATATCCCGGCTAATCTTTGCATAGACTTTCATGTAGAAATAGCCTAATCAGAAGACACACAACACGTGGCCTAGCTGTGGCACAACTCATCTCATGACGTCTTGGTGTGACTGAAGGAATCCAAACATTTATAATGACTAATTTCTCCGTTATAAACTACACTTGTATCAGTTCTTTTCGTGTTGCTGGCGCTGCGTGTCCTTGTGTGGTTTTGAGAGGACGCAGTGACAGGTGTAGACGTTTTGGTTGAGGGGAGAGAAAGCTTTTTGGAGCAGAGAGAGCGAGAGGGGCAAGAAGAGGAGAAGGAGGAGGAGAGGGAGGCTGGAGTCAGACAGGACCGGAGCACACGCCAGAGACGCATCCAAGACGCACGACATGCCTTCACCATTCAGGTAAGTTGCACTTCAACAGTCATAGGAAATATTACTTACATTTCATTCATGTCGTAGTCGAGTTTAGGATTGATAGTAAAAAGACCATATTCTCTGGATAATATCGCATGCATGTGGCGATTAATGCATAAATCATTTACATTAGCTCTTTAGCATCACTATTTAGCTAAATGCTAATTTCCCTCGTAAATTTCAACAAATGTCATTGGCGGTCAAAGGAGCGAGATGCCTGTCCGGTAAAAGGGGGGCAATTTACGACGGCACAGTGGCTGTTGACATGTTTGATGCCCAGATGATACATGCGATGGGACTATGAGGCAATCGCTTAAGAACTCGTGTGCGGCTCGAGCGTCTCTAGTTCAAAAACGAGCGTGTATGAAGCGTGAGATTCATTCTCAGTGAGTTTTACCGCCTCGTTTGAATGCAGCAGCATATAACACACGGTTCAAAGAGCCCCTGTTTGGTACATATTCTGGGGATCAATAATCTCTGGTAAGTTTGGGGAGTTGGTGCTTTGCTCGTGGGCACTTGGCTTCTCTGGAGCATGGTTAGATGCACAACAGGGTGAGGGTGGTGGCAGGAGCATGAGTGCTTACTCAGACCTGTCTTCATAATGTGTAGAACATCTGTCTCAGTGATGTTTGCTCCTCTCTCTGCAGGTGTCTGTGGACATGCCCTGGGTCTCTCTCATCATGGGCCATGAGATAAATGCACATGTACAGGACAACAGATAGTATGCCTAAGCCGTTGGCATACCCCCTCACGCGATGTGGCACGACATGGCACGCCTAAACATGGGTCTCCTCTTTGCTCTCCTGTGTCTCCCCGTCGCCCTGGTGCTTTGCCACAGCAGCATCTATGAGCGCTCCGTGGTGCCTCGCGCAGCCTCGCGGTCTGTAGCACGGATGGATGGAGATGTCATCATTGGAGCTCTCTTCTCCGTGCACCACCAACCCTCAGCGGAGAAGGTGGCTGAGCGTAAGTGTGGAGATGTGCGTGAGCAGTATGGCATTCAGAGAGTGGAGGCTATGTTTCACACGTTGGACCGGATCAACGCAGACCCGTACCTGCTGCCCAACATCAGTCTCGGCTGTGAGGTTCGGGATTCCTGCTGGCACTCTTCAGTGGCTTTGGAGCAGAGCATTGAGTTCATAAGAGACTCTCTGATCTCAATCCGCGATGACAAGGATGGGTCAAAGTGGTGCATAGATGGTACTCCTTCCAACCAGCCTCCCCCCACCAAGAAGCCCATAGCAGGAGTCATCGGACCTGGCTCCAGCTCAGTGGCCATCCAAGTCCAGAACCTGCTGCAGCTCTTCAACATCCCACAGATCGCGTACTCTGCCACCAGCATCGATCTGAGCGACAAGACCCTGTTCAAGTATTTCCTGAGAGTGGTGCCCTCTGACACTCTGCAGGCACGAGCCATGCTCGACATTGTCAAGAGGTACAACTGGACCTATGTGTCAGCTGTGCACACAGAAGGTAAGGCACAGTGGATGTACATATGAAATCTAAGAAAATATGGCATGAATAATACTATGACAACCGTATGTATGTCAGAATTTAACTTGTAAGTAACCATTCATGATAGTTACAGGCAAGCAATAGGTCAACATGTTATATACATTACTACTCTTGAGGAAAATTTGTCTGTCTCACTTTCCCTGACTGATGTAAAGCTTATACTGCAATAATTTTAACATGCTTAATTTATTTTTAATGAAAATAATCTCCAAATGAGATGAGGCCTGAGTATGTGTGCAGTGGAACCTTCCAGTTTTGATTGAGTAGCCATAGCGCACAGAGTTGCATAAATCTTTCCTCTGACATTGGTAGGCTAAGGCTCTATTTGGAAGCTGTCCTTTTGTTCTTGAAACATGCTTTGTGAAGGTTTGGCATCAGAACTGGACATTTTGGTTGTGTAACCACAGCTCTCCAAGCTATTTCAACTGTTAGTTGTTAAAATCCATTTTTAGGTGTTTACCACTCATTTTATCCCAGTTCTTAATGTTACAAACACATTTCTTTTCTTGACAAGTTCACTTTTTTATTAAGAAATGTTTCTCAATTTAGCAGCACAAAATGTATTTTGAAAAAGACAGGAGAATGAAGGCAGAGTTGGCTAGACAAGGTAATTACTGTGAAGTGCATTATGCCCAGTGCTTTTCATTAGAACGGGAGTGAAATAGGCATTAAATGATGAGTGACAGCCTACATTACCCAGCATCCCCCCTAAGGAGCACTGAAGCCACAGGAGGTGTAAAACATCTTTGGAAAGTCCTATTCTAGGCAGGTGGCAGCTGTGACACAGGCTGACAGCAGATAGATGAAGACTGGGAGTTTGGGACAAGTGGATCCTTAGGTGGGGCCAGGACCTTTAGCACAACTACAGCATCCTATGGGACACAAGTCACAATTAGTCTGATAACTACGGAGCTGGACTGAACCTGACCTCCAAAAACAACAGCTATGGCTATTAGGAAGATTCTGAAATGATAAATGATCTATATGCCTTCCTTTAATATATTTACTATATATATATATATATATATATATATATATATATATATATATGGAATTATAAAAAAAACATCATTGCAGCAATTGTATTCTGGTTGAGGGTGATTTTCAGCCTTAGATTGGTATTTGAATCTAAATCAATCTCAGTGTTACAGTAGAGATGAGGATTATGTGATCACATTTACAACAGTTTTAGCCTACTAAACCAATGGTGATTTTAAAGGTACAGTACACGACTGTACAACCGCTCTGGAGGGAGATCCACTACCTGCTTCTCTCTATGGAGTTGATATTGGTTTACCACAATATGGAATTATATATTTATTCATTAACATGTTTTGCTGAGCAGGGTCAACTCCTTACAGATCTGTCCTGTTACTTGGCCTGGTCATGTAACCTGGTAGTCACAATGTGACTATACCGTGGAGCTTTTCTTTAAGATGTTAACTGCTTGTGTTGGCAGTTGCTCAGAAGTACATAATGAGATAAATGCTTACCAGTAGTCCTTTTGTTTACATTTTTGAGTTTGCACTATTGTACCTAAAATGTTTTAAATCAGGAGCCAAAACAAAACCATGCCCAAATGTTTTTAGTTTACCATTATCAAGCATTACTGATTTCCAATTTGCTCATTAGACTTGCCAAATTACCTGGCATGGTGCACTGAAATGTAAATGTAATTTTAATAAAGCCAGTAGTGGACAGTTCTAGCTGTTGTTTTTAACTCAGACTGTCCTGCACGTCTTTTGCCAACCTTCTTGTGACCTTTTGTGATTGCGGAGAATCTGTTTAGTTTATTTAGCTTCGCTCCAAACAGTGGTCACGACTGGCTCAGACTCCTCTCTTTTCCACCACCTTAGACCAAGTTATAAATGTAACTTGTTGCCCATAGCAACAGCAAAGAGCTTGTGTGAAATTGCATAAATTACCTGACTCCACATTATGATCATTGTGATACAAAACCTTTATTTTGGTGTAGTCATTGTCAATAAAGCACCAGTCAGCACACACCACCCACCTGTTCCCCCAGTCTACAGTGCAGTAATTGGACATGATCATTTCCATTTAGTGAAAGGAGAGTGAACTAGGCAATAGAACATAACAGGACCGCCGCAATATCAACACAGGGGCGGCTGTGAGGCACATAAATGCATTACTGTGATCGTTTTTCAGCTGCAGTTTAGATTTCTAAACCCCACACACACAGATCATTCATTACCAAAACAAGAGGGCCATCAAGGCCATTTCAGACCATTTAAACACGTTCTTTCATATACACCCACATGAATGAATCAACGTTTCTTTGACAACAATGAACTCACATATGCAACTGATGATTATTTGACAACATCTGGTACTTTTAGGTAGTTATATGACTTAAAGAGGGTGTTCAATCAGCCCTTGACATTCTTGGTTTGTCTCTGGAGGTCTACAGAGACTTTACAGTAAAATTACTTAAGAATTAAGAAAGAATTTACTTAGGATGACAATAAATTAAATAATGAGTCTACAACTGAATGGTGACTGCCAGACAAATCTTAGGGCAAATATCTACGGTTTCCCTTGACATCTTAGCCAATGATAAAGTGAAGGCTCCTCACAGCCAGGGCAGATTTACACTAAACTGTTGGGGGCCTGAGGCGCAATGCTGCTGCTGTCTACACCCGTGTGCACTGTGATCGTAATCAGTGTCCACTAAACTCTTTGACTCTCATTAAGAACTAGAGGATCAGAGGTTTACGTCAGTGCAGCTCCATGTGCCGATCAGCAGCTGCACAGGGGGTGGAGCTACAGTCACAGCTGTAATTACTCAGGACAAAGTACTTATTTGTGTGTTTTAATCATTATTTATCTAAAGACTGGACATACTTTGAACTTTAGATGGGGAACATGGAACTTTTTAACAACGTGGAGTAAGTCTACAAATGACAGGCGATGCTCAAAACCAAAATTTTAACTGGTGCATTTATCAAAACACAAAAGCTGCAGTAATTCAGGTATTAGACTGTCCTCTGCCACCAACAACATTTTTTCTCATATAAAACCAGCTAACCCTGTAGTTTAGAAATCTGTAAACATGTTCTGAAATGCATGAGATTTCTCTATTTGTTTAGCAGTTTCTCCAGTCTAATACTCCTGAGTGTGTTCAAAATGTGTTCAAACTGAATCCAGATTTTAAAACATGAAATGCAAATCTAATTGCAACCGCAATTCTTGTCAGATTTTCATTTTCCTTCAAATTGTGCATCCGTATGTGAGGTGTCAACTTAAATTCAATAAGATGGTCCCTGTAGTAATATTCAGAATGCAAAACAAGGTACCTGTCTTCAGATGCTATAGTAAAACATCCAGTATATGTTTTGTAGAATCTCTACTCTACACTAAAATAAGTTGACCCGCATTATCTGTGAAAATAACACATTTTCCCCCTGGCAGGAAACTACGGAGAGAGTGGTATGGAGGCCTTCAAGGAGATCGCATCTCAGGAGGGGCTGTGCATCGCTCACTCAGACAAGATCTACAGTAACGCTGGAGAACGCCATTTTGACCGTCTGCTGAAGAAGCTGAGAGAGCGTCTGCCCAAAGCTCGAGTGGTGGTGTGCTTCTGTGAGGGCATGACGGTGCGCGGGCTGCTTATGGCCATGAGGAGGCTGGGCGTGTTGGGAGACTTCCTCCTCATCGGCAGGTACAAATACAACTGTTGTGTAAACATCACAGCTTATAGTATTGATCACTTTATTATTATTATAGACTTAGATGCACCCTCCACAGTACAGGCAGGCTTGACAAACACAAGTCACAGTAAGAGATATATATAAATGCAACCTGTCAGGAGTAGTGGGTGGGTGCTGTGTGTTTCTGCATTGTGGGGGTCCTGTTCAAGACGCAGAGTTTGCAACAGCTGAAAACTCTGAACTGTCATTATTTAGGTAAAAAGTTATTGTAGATATGTTTGCTGCATTTATTGTCTTGAAATGACATGAGCAAGTAAACGAATTCCAGTGCATCCCTTCTCTTTTTCTAACATACTTTCTCATATGGTTGTACTACTACTAATTACTTCTTTTTTTATTTCCCCAAAACTACATTGCTGATTTCAATTTGTACATAGTGGTTTTAAAGAAGCTGTAAGACATTTGTGCTTTCCTGATGTGATCACCAAGGCAACCAAGAGGAATGAAAAGGACCAGAGCAACAGCGATGAATAGAGATGTTTTCCTTGACTGTCTGAGGAGCACATTCAGGGAACATTGCCTTATGTATCAGGGTTCTTTCTTGTCCAGGGCAAAGGCATTTGTTGTTATTAGATCATAATGGAGGCATTTATTCAAAGACTAAATGATCCTTTAGAAGCCAGTTCTCTGTAATAGATAGGCTATGCTGATCTGCATTAGTCAATAGTGAGTATGGTAGCTCTTAAAAGGCATGTCACAATGTCAGCTTTTAGTGTTCTATTTACTGTGGGTAGAAACATTACAATTCTTTCATTATTTGCTATTGGCACCATGACAAGAAAATACTTTACAATATCTAAAATAGCAGAGATAGGAAATCAAACTTGCTGAATGTTTAAAAAAAAGTACCTTTAAATACTTAAATACCATCATGATCGGCACTTTACATAACCTGCAAATGTAGTTCCTCACAAACAAATAGTGATTTTGATTGATTTCATAATCCATGGTCACTTTTGTGGTGGTTTATGCTTCTGAAATTCTTTCAAATATTCACTGATTTCTTGTCATTATATTCTGGAATTTTTAACCAACACTATCGCTTAGAACAGCCTGTATATGCAAATCTCCAAATAGATTTAGATTTTTGCTTGTAATTGCACCACACCCTTGTTTCCTTTTCCCCTGCACACCTTACAAATTTGGTGCAGTCAATTTGAACTGTACTTCTTAGAGCATGCTGGCTTATTTGTAACTGGGTTGTCATAATGGCCCCAGGATATATACTAAAAGCTGCTATAGTGTAAAAATGCAGTTGTATGGTGCGCGATTGAGCGATGGAGGAGGTTTTTGGGAGTGCTTGGTGACAGGGCACTTGTCAGAGGCTGCTTCTCGAGTGGGACATTAATAAGACAGCTAAAGATGGCGAGACGTGTAGCTGTGGATAAGCAGTGTGCAGGAGATTAGCCGAACACCACCAGAGAGAAGCTCCAACTCAGGGCTGTCAACTCCGAAGGACAAACCAGAGGCAAAGTGACTGGGGACAAATGTTATACTGTTACAAACTACTTACTGCATTTGGATGTTAGGTTAAACAGTAAATCTGTGTTTTTACAGTGTTTCCGTCACATTTATTCAGTTAGTTTTGTCTGTATGAGTTATAAGAAATAGTTTCTTATCATTTGTTCAACTTACAATGATAGTAATAACATCTGTTTAATAAATTTAGAGACCTACTGAAATTATTAAAATAATAAATAATGAAGCTCAACAATCTTGCTCACTTTGAGGTCTGATCTGGTTCTGGATGTAAATTTTCCATGCATTTTCTCTATAGACTTTTTAAAAAAATCTAATATTAGGAGTTTTAGGGCATTGCAGAGGCTAACCAGCTACGTGGTAACTAATATCCTTAATGTGGCTGTTTCATGCCCAAAAAGTAGGGATGTCACAATAGCCGAAATATTATGATTTTGTATCGTCAAAAGTCTCACATATCGAATATCTCATATCGAATTACAAGTTCCTTTGCTTAAATGCATGGTTTTACAGTAGCAACAGCTTATGAACATCAGAAACTACATATCCCATGATCCATTTCAATGCAAACAACATAAAGAAATATGTTTTTTATTTGAATTCTTGAGATTATGATGGAAATAATTCACACCAAAATGTTGTCAAGGTATTTTAAAAGCAAAAAAGTGTTCCATCTACAATTATATTAGCCTCTTCAAAATATCACAATAGATATTGTACCATGAGATGTATATAGTTATATTATTGTACCATGAGATTTGGATATCGTTCCATCCCAACCAAAAATCATGTGGTTTGTAAAGTTTCAGAAATAGATTTTACATCACTTTATAGGCCTTGCAGTCTTTGGTTACCACATAACTGATTAGCTCTAAGAAAGCTTTCAAAGTTTTTGGAAAAATTGAAAAATAAATGGTAAATTTACTTTCAGAACCTTTCAGTGGATGGTCACTGTTGAGCTTTTTTAAGCACAGGCACCCTGGTGTTTGATCTTCTTTAAAAATCTCAAGATAGAAGAATAAAATGGAAAATTCAGTAGTTAGTTTCAGAATAATGTAGTTACTACAAAGCAAAGTTCATAATGAATCAATCAGTACATATAAAGCTGCAATATTCATAGATCAAATACATATTTTTACAAAAGTAAGTTATAGGAAAGATAACAATACAGTAACATAGCTGTGACTACAGAGTGTGAAATGAATAATGCACTATAAAGGGTGTCATCAAGGTCACGATATAATTCCAAAGCATTATTTTAAACAGCCAGTTAAAATGCTCTTTAGGTTTTTACAGCTTGACATCCATAGTGAAGACACCTCTCTCCCACTGACTTCACTGTTTTCCCAATAGGTAATAAGCAAAACATTACATTCAACACCTGGTTAAGACTGCAGATCCCAACTCTTAAATTATCTATTATTATGACACCCAAGGGTTACAGCCTATCCATCTCATATCTGCACATCCTTCCATAGGAGACACAGGAACAGAGAGAGTCTTTTTTTAGCTTTAGCCCAAGTCTCAGGGGTTGAACTGCAGCTTCTGGGTCACACATACACAGATGGAAGAAGACTGGAGGAATGACAGGAGGGAGACTGTGGCTTTCTTGGCGTATAGCTCAGCACCCGTGTGACAGACATGTATTAGCTCATCAAATGGAGACGCTTAATTTATGCTTTCACCCCCGAGATGTGAAGAGGTGTGAGGATGTGACACAGCATCGTCTGTCGTCCAACGAGGATAATAAAATATAAAGAAAAATGGAGTGTGCTAAAAGAAAAAAAGCTTTTGTTTTCAGAGCTGGGCTTTTCAGACAAATCCCAGCTGTGGTGAGGGGTGTGACCTGTTTTAGTCTACTTCAGAACTCATTGTTCTGTAATAGCTTGTTACGGATTTGGTTAGTGAGTGTGGGCAGTAATTTAATGAAAATTTTCACACATTTTTGATAGGTCTGGATTAGAGTATTCCAATAGTACAAGAGCTGTGTTGTGGTCGGCCAAAATGTGAGGCCATGAAATTATTTTGTACATGAGTTACTTGTTTGCATTTAACCTGAAAATATTGTGATTATTGTGATATATTTTCCCTGCTTGGAAGAATAATTTGACTTGCGTACTGTAGTTGAAGCTGAATCTTGCACAAACACTTACATCTACATTACCTAACAGAGCCATAGAATTGTAATGTTTCACAGTATGGTTTTAAAAGTATCTAAATCTCTATGGAGACAAGCGTCCTCAAGTGGACGCTCCCGGGTCAAGTTACAGGTCAGATCTGTGACAAGGTGACCCCGCTCACAGTGAGAATGAATGTTTTTGAGTAATAAAACCACCTGCTATTGAATAAATGTGTGACAGATAAGTTTAATGTGATACCATGGAACATTTTAGACAAAGCAATAACATCTCCATGGAGACAAGCAGATGACAGACCATACATTATAAAAGTTAGAAAGTGAAAATGTAAAAGTGACTTGTTACATCACATTGCTTTAATATTTTCCCTGTATGGAAGAATTATTTGACTTGAATGCTGAAGTTGAAGCTGGATCTTGCTCACCCAGTTAAACCTTACACCTACATTACGTAACAGATCCATAGTCTGTCTTCACTCTGTCCTCTTATATTCCACCTAAATTCAGAAGCCTGGCAATTCATACTATCTAGTCTGCACATACCACACAGTATTCCATCCCCAGTAAAATGTACTTATAGTGACATTTTAATAAGAGGATGGGCTTGTGAGTGTCCATTCTCCTGTCTCTCGTGTGTGTGGCCGGACCCTGGCTCATGTGTTTGTGTGTGGGAGTGTTTAATGGTGAACAGTGTGAGCGGGCTGACAGTTCTATGTGAAGCTGTAAAATGGCCACAGTCTCTTTGTAATGTGACCAGAGAGCGCACTGCTGCTGTGTCTCCATGGAGATGGTTATGTGCGATTACAAACATGTACTTTTGTCTTCATGTGTCTAATGTTGTGTTTCTGTTGTGGCCAGGATAGTAGGAGATAGGGGCTATTTTCTAGTTTACACATGCAAACTATTTTGGAAATACTTTGGCATATTGTCCCATGTTGCAGTCAAAGATCAAACTATTTCTAATACAGCCCCAAGTTGCAAGAATAACGGAATAACATTTGTAGCATCGCAAATTAAACTTAAATAATGTGAGCTATACAATATATATACATATACATGATATATATTGATATATATATATTTTGTATATAATGGTTTCCCCCAGTATCACTTACTTGTAAGTAGGGGTGAAACGATATCCAAGTCTCACGATACGATATCGGTATGAAGCTCACAGGACGATATTTATTGCGATATCGTGGGAAAGCTCACAATATGGTGGGGAGGTTCACGATTAGGGATGTAACAATATCCAAATCTCTCAGTACGATATTTTCACGATACACATCTCATGATAGGATATTTACTCTGATATTTTGTGGAGATTAAACTGTT